AGCATATTTCTGATCATATTGATTAAAAACAATAGGAAACAAACAAATAACAGAATAACTAAATTACAAAATCATGATTTACTATTCGAAATTTGAATATTAATAAATAAAAAGATAGGCAATAGCTAATAGAGACAGGACACAGAGTTCATTATATAAGAAATTCATGAAACAAAGTCTGAAAGAAGAGAGGGAAATATCTTATTGTTGAAATCCTCAAGAAAACCACTAGAATTCAGTTAAGCACTCAGCAATATCTAATACAAGAACCAAATCAAATCAACAAATCTCGAGATCAACATAAAGCATACAGAAATAATTTAAAGTGTATGGAAAGAATTCTATTGACATGAGACTACACCAAACCACTGCCTGGAGAGGACAAAATAAATTAGGTATTCACAATAACAAAATTGCATATTTACAAAAGCGACCAAGTAATGAAGCATAAATCATAGTAACTGAACTAACCATGAACCAAAAGCTGTGTCTTTCTTACCTTAAGTTCACGAATTAGCTTCCCTTGTGTAGTCTCCCAGACTTTGATAGTACAATCCTGGGACCTATGACAGTTAAGATGGAGATATTTGTTATAAATCTGTAGAGAACTTCAGCTCAATAATGTGTTCAAAACTACACGAGCTAGTAGTATTGTTATCTCAGAAATCTTGACCCGAGAATCCTTTTCAAATGAACAAATTCAATAATCTGTTCAATTGACTCATCCGATTATTTCTCTTTCATTTATAAGTGACAAGATCATGAATTAAAACCAATTGGAGGGTTTTCTTACAACACAAGGGAACGTGGTGTAAATAGATTTCAATGTAAGTCGAAATGACTAGTGAGTGCTAATAACAATTTCCTTTTTTCATTTAAAAAAAAATTATTATTTCATTATCGTTGCAATAACTAAGAAAAAAACATACCCTGTATATATAACACCATCTCCCCCCCATTTTACACACGTCACTGCAAGTGTGTGGCCACTAAGACATATAACAGATTTCCTCAATGTAACGTCCCATATGCGTGCATCACCATCTTTGCTAGCACTTACAAAGCGTCGACAGGGAGAGTTCAGGTGGACTGGTTCCCAAGAGATTCCAGTAATCCATTTCTTATGGCCCTAAAAAATTAATGGAATAATATTTCATGAACCAAATATCCACAAAAACAACAAAATAGAAGAGGCGTGTCCTCATATGTGTCAGAAACAACAAATTACAATATGTAGCAATCAACTGAGAAATTTAAAATGATCAGTGATTGAAGTATAGAAACTTTACTATAAGTGGATTGCCTGATGGCTTCCCAGTCTGTGGATCCCAACATTGGAGTTCCCCGGCTTTACTCCCACTAACAAGATGTTTACCATCAGGTGACCATGCAATACAAAGGACCCAATTCTTATGTCCTGAATAAAATAAGGTGTACTGTCATTGTGCAAATAATAGAAAGGCAATAACGATGAGGGGGTGACAATCCTCTTAACTTATAAATTTATTTGGGAATAAAAGGTATAATAAGGTTAAAATTTCACTAAGGAGTGACATATGAAGATGACTTCTACATTATAATAAAGCATTTTTAAATGTGAATCATCAAAGAAAAAAGTTTAAAATGACATAATAAAGCATTTTTAAATGTGAATCATCAAAGAAAAAAGTTTAAAATGACAAAAAGATGAAATAACTTTATTCTCACTTATTATGCAGC